GGCAGAGCCCACGAAGGGATGGGGATCATGGGGTTGGTGGGGTGTGTGCGGAAGGGAGCGTTGTACTCTGGGGGGGTACGGAGCCGTAGGATTCATGTGTTGGGCGGAGAGGGCCCTGCACTGGGGTGTGGGGGGCAGAGGGGTCCCTCGGGGGCACGTATCCCACCCTAGCCACAGTGCTGGCAGGCAGCAGTGCTTCTGCCCGCTCCTTGGCGTGGATCTGGCAGCTCAGGTGAGTGATATATAGAATCATGGAATGGTTTGGGTTGGAAGGGACCTTAAAGATCATCCAGTTCCAACCCCCCTGCCATGGGCAGGGACACCTTCCATAGCCCAGGTTGCTCCAAGCCTCATCCAGCCTGGCCTTGGACACTCCCAGGGATGGGGCATCCACAGCTTCTCTGGGCAACCTCTCCCAGTGCTCCCCACCCTCTGCGGGAAGAATTCCTTCCTGATATCCAATCTAAACCTCCCCACTTTCAATTTGTACCCATTACCCCTTGTCCTGTCACTACAGGCTCTTGTAAAAAGTCCTCTCCCAGCACCCCTGTAGCCCCTTCAGATACTGGAAAGCTGCCATGAGGTCTCCTCGGAGCCTCCTCTTCTCCAGGCTGAACCAGCCCAATTCTTGCAGCCTTTCATCATAGGAGAGGGGCTCCAGCCCTCTGATCATCTTTTGTTTCATATGTTTCATTCTGTGCAGGAACGGGGTTGCTGCAAAGCTAAATGTTTCCTCAGGCGCCGGGAGCAACAGTCTCCCGCCTGCTCAGGGGTGGTCAGAGACATTCAGCAGATGCTGCTCCTCCTTTTTACCCATAGCTTGTTTCTTCTTTTAACTGCTGTGCATCTCTCGAGCAGGCGTTGGCATGAACAGAATTCGGATCCACGTTTTGCCCTCGAGCCGAGGACGCCTTACTCCTGTGCCGCGGCCGCAGGAGCCCCTGCCCTGCGCCTTCACCCACCGCCAGTGCTCCCAGCCGCGGCTGGAGGGGCAGGAGTTCTGCATTAAGCACATCCTTGAAGACAGGAGCGCCCCTTTCAAGCAGTGCAGCTACGTCTCAACCAAGAACGGGAAGCGGTGTCCCAACGCTGCGCCCAAACCGGAGAAGAAGGATGGGTGAGTACCTCTGCCTCCTGGTTTTCCGGTTCTCTACCATATGGAATTCAAACAGGCAGGAGAAGGTCCTTTTCCTGATTCAGCTGCCGCACTTACCGTACCTCAGACAAGTGGCTCCCTCTTTCTGAAGCGTTTTTAAGCTGGAAAAGGGCTCTGCGAGTGCTGGGCACTGCGTGGAGTCGTCTTGGTCCCGTGGGACCGTCGGGCTGCTGCCCTCTGCCATCGGAAGGTGGCTGCAGCGATCCAGGTCCTGTGGAAGAGCTGTACGTGCACCCACGCGGTGCTGTACCTCTGCTCGGCCCAGCAAATTTAACTTGGCCGCTGTCTGCACAGATGATCCTCAGCACGGATACTCCGGTCGCATGTTACGTGAGCTGATGACCTGGGTTGTGCTTCTTGTTTCCTGATGGGAACAAAATGGTCTGGCTGGTGGGGATGGAAGGACCTAGAGCAGTTCCAGTAAGCACGTCAGCAGAGCGCAGATTCCCTTATGGGATCATCGACCCGCATTTTACCCTCAGGGATGTGGACACTGGTTGTCTTCATCCTGCCCTTGGTCCCTCTGCGGTTAGAAGGATCCATCGGATGCGGGCCAGCGTGGAAGCTGAGAGCCCAGTGTGGATGTTTGGAAGCAGAATTGCTCACCTCAGTGGCTTTATGTACAAAGCTCTTTGCTCTCCCTGCGGCTGTGCCATGTGGCTCCCGGTCCCGCTGCCAGAGCTGGCGTTTCAGCAGTGGTGTGTGTGGGGCTCTGGCATTCCCGAGCCGTCCCTGCAGCCAGCAGTTCTCTCCGAGGGAGAGCTGTGGAGGAGATGTGCTTTCCAGGTGCCGGGGGACGTTTCTCACCGCATTGCTTGCTTGTTGGCTGAGGCCTTGGGATTGTAACGAGCTGGTGATCTATTCCCGCAGCACGTCGTTCTGCGTGGAGCACGCCCGTCGGAACGCTCTGGCGCTTCAGGCTCAGATGAAGAAGTCCAGTCCTGGACCTGGAAGCGAGACTCTCCTTTGCCAGCTTAGCTGTTACGCCAAAACAGAGCTGGGCTCCCAGGCTGCGGAGAGCAGCCGTAGCGAAGCCAGTCGGATCCTAGGTAAGAACTGCAGGCAGAAGCTGGGGAGAGAGGACCTGGAGTTCTCTGGTTTGTGTGGAAATTCCAAGAATTACACTTAAATCCAGTGGAAAAAAGATCCCAGGGGTGTGTGGGTTGTGTTCTGCTGACCCTGGCACGTTTTGCCTGCCACGGGCTGTGGGCAGTCACGCTGCCAGGCCGAAATCCTGCAGGCTTTCTTCCCGTGCGCTCACAGAGGAGGCGCATTTGCCCGCTTCCCGTCTCCCAGGGTCGCTCGGTGTGGCAGCCCACGGCTCCTGCCCACCCAGGAACCACGCGTTTTGGCTGTGTCTGTTCCTTGTCCCTTCCTCGCACTGTGCTGGGGAGGAGAAGTCCCTCTCGGCACGAGGCGGAGCCGTTTCGCCTCTGTGGAGCTGAGCTCCTGGGGGCCCGGGTTGTCCTGCGCCGGAGCAGCGAACGCTCGGACGTAGCGCCGCGTCCTGTCGCTCAGGGTGACTCGTCCTTTCAGATGAGGACAGCTGGAGCGATGGTGAGCAGGACGCTGTCACGGTGGACCAGACGTGGCGAGGGGACCCGGACAGCGAGGCCGACAGCATCGACAGCGACCAGGAGGATCCCTTGAAGTGAGTTGGATGCTGGTGGCTGCCAGCCGCTTACCCGTGTCATCCTCAGTCTCTGAGTAGTCTCTTCATTTAAAACACCCCATAAATAGGGTATTTCTGCCTGGCACTCGCCGGGCTGTATGATCCAGCACCACTCAGCCTGCCTTTCCGATAACATCCGTGTCCTTTGCCCAGGAGAACAGCTCCGAGGCACCCTTAAGCCTCACCCTGCGGGTGTTTTTCAGGCACGCCGGCGTATACACAGCCGAGGAGGTGGCTTTGATCATGAGGGAGAAGCTCATCCGCCTGCAATCCCTCTACATCGACCAATTCAAACGGCTCCAGCACCTCCTGAAGGAGAAGAAGCGCCAGTTCCTGCACTGCCGCAAGGGAGAGCACGAAGCCATAGGCAAGTACCGGCACAGGTAGTCACCGACCCCTATTCCCAGGGTCACGGCGCTTCTGTGAAGCGCCTGCAGAGCTCCACGTTCAGCGGTGGGATTTGCCCTTCGGAGAAGCCAATCTGGGAGTGGCGCTGTCTCAGTACGGGCGGGAAAACTATGATAGGGCCTGAACTGGGTTGGAGAAGGCGCTTCTGCGCCTGGCCTCGTGCCCGGAGATTGGTATCGTTGGGGTTAGAAAGGTTCCCGGATCCCTTTGCTCCTCAGGGTTTGCAGCGTTGTCAGGAAATGAGACTACAAAGTTAATTCTGAGACAAAAGTTCGGTGTTTTTTTTTTTTGGTCTGGGATTTCCTGTTTTTTTTAAATTTTACAAACAAACCCGATTTGTCTGGAAGGCCCTGAAAGCCGGTTGCGGTAGTTAAACCGGGGCTGCTGCGGTGACGTGTTTGTCACACGGATGCAGCTTTCCCTTGGAAAAGCTCTGGCTTGGAATTCTCCCTGCACGCGGCACGTTCTCGGAGGCAGGAGTTCGTCCTCCGGCAGCGGCGGAACCGGGTTGTAGCTGTGGTCGGGAGTGCAGGGAATGCGCTGGCGCAGCCTTAGAATAGCTCCTCCTGGAAAATGGCTGGGGTCCTGAGTAAAAATAACTGGGAGTTTGGTACATAACAATTTTCCAGAGCTCTTTCTTAGCAAACCAGTAATAGAAAAGCAGATCCTGAGCGGTTCCCCTGTAATTACGGCTGGGAGAGCTTACGGGAAGCTTCCAGAACTTGCCCAGGAGCAAGCTGGAATTCCTCCGCCTGCAGAAATCAACAATAGACTTTGGAGTGGCCAAACGGCTTGAAAAGCCGTTGGGAAAATATTCTTTCGGCCCGAGTGCTCCAAGTTGGGATGTATTTTGGGATGGAATCTGTTTTGTCACCTTCTCCCGTAGCCGGGAGATGCGCTTCCCGTGCGTAAACGCGGCTCTCGCTGCTCCTTCGCTCCGCGCGTCGGCGCCTGGGTCGTCAGTCGGCCGTGGGAGCTCCTCGACAAGCCCCTCTTTGGCCCCAGATGCCGAGAAAATGGAAAGACATGGCAGGTGGGGCGGTGTTTTCTGACCTCTCCCGCATTCCCCACAGGCAGCAGCCTTCTGACGGGCCCGGAGGGGCTGATGGCCAAGGAGCGGGAGAACCTGAAGCGGCTGAAGTGCCTGCGGCGGTACCGGCAGCGCTACGGCGTGGAGGCCCTGCTGCACCGGCAACTGAAGGAGCGCAGGATGCTGGCCACTGACGGCGCTGCCCAGCAGGTACGGCCAAGCGGCTCGGGGGCTGGAGTGACGGCAAGCTGGGCGTCCTCATCCCTTCCTGGGCGCCATCCCAGGCCTGATCCGCTCCAGCCCTGCCAGATTGTCACACCCTTTCTGCAGGGACAGAGGGAAGTGTGGGCTTGGAGAGCTTTCCCTTCGGAAAGAGAGGGCTTAGCGCAAGGAGCCTGATTTCCATCACTGAAAAACGTGGAAAATCCTTAAGGGGGTGAATCCCAGATTCCTCCTAACCCTGTGGGGACCCAAAGGCAGGCCCCTTGCGCCACCCACGCCACTAAAAACTTGCAGCGTTCCCTCAACCCAAAGTTGAAAAATGAGTCTGGGAAACCTCGTTCCTGGAGGAAAAGCTCCAAGGGCTGGAGCCCCTCTACCATGGGAACAGGCTGGGAGAGTTGGGGGGGTCAGCCTGGAGAAGGGAAGCTCCGGGGAGACCTCAGAGCCCCTTCCCGTGCCTGGGGGGCTAGAAGAAAGCTGGGGGGTGCTTTTTCCAAGGGCAGGGAGTGACAGGACAAGGGGTAATGGGTTTAAACGGAAGGAGGGAGATTGACATGGGACATGAGGAAGGAATTCTTCCTGCAGAGGGTGGGGAGGCACTGGGACAGGTTGCCCAGAGAAGCTGTGGATGCCCCATCCCTGGGAGTGTCCAAGGCCAGGCTGGATGAGGCTTGGAGCAACCTGGGCTATGGAAGGTGTCCCTGCCCGTGGCAGGGGGTGAGACTGGGTGATCTTTAAGGTCCCTTCCCACCCAAACCATTCCATGATTTATGAAATCCGAGGTGAAGTTGGTCCTTTGGAAACCGAGTCAGCTCCGTTTTAAGCAAAGCCTGCGTGGGAAGGGCGTACCGAGGAGCGAGGCTTCGCTGGAGCCGGAGGTTGCTCTTGGCGTGTTTTGAAAGCAGGACGTGGGTGTCACGTAGCCGAGGGGGTTTCTCCGGAATGGAACCGGGCAGTTCCGAGTTCTTCTCTTGGACTTGCAGGCGCACACCACCCGCTCCAGCCAGAGGTGCTTGGCCTTTGTCGACGACGTCCGCTGCTCCAACCAGTCCCTCCCCATGACCAGGCACTGCCTCGCGCGTATCCTTTGGTCTGCCTGGGCCGCGGGCTGCGTTCCCGACTTACCTGGCCATTTGAGGTGTGTCTGATCCTTTGATTTTTTTTTTTTTTCCCCCTCTTCGGCCCTCAATCAAGGCCATCGGTTTGCCGTAGCCGATGGTTTCAAACAGGAGCCCAAAGGAAACGTCTCCCGGTCTGTTGGCACCCCCATCCCCATGGAATGGCCAATTCGTGTGGGAGCGACAAGGCGCTGGTCTGGCCCTCGCCCCCTCCCCAGGCCGGGTTCCACCTGCATCCGAACGGGGTGGCTGGATCACTTGGAAGCAAGAAGGGAACCTCATGGAGCCCGGGGGAGGCAGGAGGGAGTTTCTGGCTGCGTGAAAGGGGGTAGGAGCAGGTCTGCTCCCGGCTTGGCTGCGGGAGCAGCGTCCGTGAGCTCTTGGGGCGCGTCCTGCTGGGAGCGGTGTTGGTAGGGGGGGTGCCCGGCTGCTGGAGCGTGCGCCTGGGGGTTCTGGAGAGGATCCGAATGAGGGAGTGGTTCCCGTCCTGCCTGGGGCTGCCATGGGTCAGCTCTCCCCTTTGACAGTTCACGCGTGTGCGTGACGAGCCTCCCGAAACAGCCTCGGGGGATCCGCTGGGATCCCTCCAGCTCAGGGATCACCTCCCCACCCTGGCATCCACGTTACCCTGGCTGCACGCCTGCGCAGCTCTTGGCTGAGTGGGATCGGGTGGATCCGTCCAGGAACAGGTCTGGATCGCGGCAGAG